GCAAAATAAAAAAACTCAATATGGAAAAAAGGAGCTCAAGACGCCGTCAGAACGGAGAAGGCGTGCTTAGCCTTCTCTGAGCACAAGGTCTCATCTACTTTGAACATTCGGTACAGTGACACCCGCAAAGCCGATGCACGAGCAGTAACATTTGCAAAGGCAACGGCTTATTCATAAATGATGGTAGACTGGACATCGAGACAGACACTTCGGACCAGCCAGGCGAGTGCCCTAATGCTGATCCAGTCACCGTTGATGAGAAACGCGTTGGGTCATAGTGTGAAATTGCCTGATTTCAAGTCTGAATAAGTTTCTACCCATACCTGTTCAGGAACGCTAGATAAGGACAGAAAAAATGATCCTAGAGACACGCGACAAAAATTAAGACTCTTCCAAAGATCACAGGTGTGATAACACACCTAACCGAGAACGGGACAACACAGTTCGGGGTATTGAGCTACCACTTTGCAGGCTGAGAGAGCACAATTACCATGACCTGGCGACAGGAAGAGACTGCCAATGAGAAATTTTCCAGACGCACTCCCAGCAAAACCAATGAAGATGAGTCAGGGGTGGACCGCGAAAAATTATCGTTATTTTCATCCTCTATGCCGCGATCCTGGAGACAAGTCTTGCGCATTACTTTTCCAAGGTAACAATATTTTCATGCTGTTCCATTTCACGACGAGGCCAGAAATAACGTTTTCAGCTCTTCTGTGTTGTTGAAGATCAGCAATTAAGCGTAGAGAAAGCACCATCAACAGTCGTCCATAACACACATTTCAAACGCTGCAGTCGACTTTGTTTTGTCAACCGAATAATGCAGCGTTCATATTCTAAGCTTGCAACCAATGGGATAATGGAGAAAAAGGGTATAACAATTCGCAGTGCTGAACAGAAAACAGTATCAACCAAACAACTGATGCCAATTTAGAAAAAAACAAAATAAAAACTGAATCAAAAAGCTCTCATTAACAGATACAAATACTCTTTTGAACAAGTCAGCGCTCCAAAATTTGGCATTCAAATTACCTAAGCGTTGTTTTACGGCTGCAGATTCCCTCGGCAGTTCAGGTGGCCGTTTTTCAGCAACGGTCACAGCAGCAAGCAAATTCGATGAGAAAAAGAATGACTTGACGTGTCGCCCGTCGCCACACCGCGTTTTGAGATCATACTGCAATAAACATTTTTACATAAAATACATTAGAAACCTCATGACATTTTTGACAACGCTGCGAGCGGAGTTACAGATATGTCAAAAATTTCATGTTCTAAGATTGCGAACATACAAAAACTGAAAAATCTACGCAAAGAAACGACCTGATCTGAAATTGAAAGTGTTTATATCATACCAGAAGGCTGCAAGCCACGTTGGCGGCTTCGTCAAACTCAGGCAGTATCTGACCAAACAAAGCCAGCTGCGCCAAAAGTTGGACATGCTGCAATTGAGGAAATAACCAACCATAGTGTTAAAACAGTTTAGCGAAGAAAACTTATACTTTTCTCATCTGTACAGCCAACTGGATTTCCTCGTCGTAAGTCAATCGGACGTTCGAATTACAATCGCTTAACAGACTTGCCGAAGTTGATTCAAACGATGCGCTGCACAACACGTTACCTTGACGCTTCGAGAATTCAAGGCAGGCAGATGCGCCATTCGTTGCCGCTTCTGCGTCCATAAAAGCTCATGTTGGTTCAGTGAAGGAAGAATACAAGAACAGACATACTCTGAACTCAAGAACAACATGGTTTATTGGACTGAACGAAAAATAAACGCACAATCGGTTGACAAATCACCGAACAGTGCTATGGTCTGGGTTCAAACGAGCCGTTTTCAGCCTATTATAGCGATGCCAATCGCTGACTTTTGATGTTGATTCCTTGTAATTTTCGAAAGATACTGGTCAACGACAGCAGATAAACTTTAATAATCTGAAGAAACTGCCAGAAAAACAGCGCAAAACTTTACTTAGCTGTTCACGAAGGAGTTTAGTCTAAATCTGTTACTTTGTACTCAGCAAACCGTTTGTTTGGTTATTTTGCATCGCAACAACCAATGCACAAATAAAATACTCAGAACAATGAGGTATTATAATTTCATTGCTGTTACCCTGAGGGTTTGCGATGACCTCTGCATCAGCAGTTTCAAATTTCAAAGGCTGAACTAAGTTCGGATGATTCATTACTGCAAAATACGTTATATCATCATACAAGCCGTTCGTGTGTCCACCTAAACAGCGACAAGAACATGGAGAAAGCAGCAACAGTTGCAGTTACCGGAAACTTTCGTAGGTGTTACAAGGCCGACTTCATCTTCGCTTGTTCTCTTAACATCATCCATCGCTACTGTTCGATAGTCGCTGTTCAGATCTTCCAGATTATCTGCGTTCATGGGACTATCTTCTACAAAAAAATTAAAAAGACTGAAGGCGAAGACGAATACAATGAACCAAAGTACGAAAAGACGAAGATGTTCAAATTACTAATGAAACTTTGATGACTGATATGCTATGTATATTAGAATACGGCGAAATTCTTAATATTCACCACTGAAATCAATGTCAACAAAGGCATCGAGTCCAAAGTCAGAGTCCAGGCCAAACAGTACCGCGTGTCCATCGTGTGAACTAGGTGCTCTTGATCTGGTTTCGTATCGCCGAACGATATTTTCATCTTCCTACAGTAAGTTATCCAATAAATGAAAGCAACATTAAAAGGAAATAAGATTCAAAGTAGAAATGAGGCGAAGGTTCAACGCAACATTATAAATTCCCTATCTAGTTTTAAGATCTGCCTAAGGCATGTAAAAGCTGGTGTTTGCTATGGGAAAACGTGGACACTGCACATTCAGGAGCGTGCACAAAATAAAATACACTGATTTCTGTATATCAAATAAATTTCCCGAAACACAACAATGACAATTTTAACCAAAGACGTGCACACGACTCCCCCATCAGGAAGTCATTTTCGATGACCGCTCATTCTTTCGAGTCATTGATGCAGACGTATCGGACAGTGTCTCCGAAGTTCACGATTCTGTTCTCTGAACGTTTGAGCTTCAGCAATATATACCTGGTTCACGCTGTCATTTCTTTAAAAATGCGGCAGCTTT